GGTAACAGACACAAAAAAAAAAAAAACACATTTTAGTAAAACCAATACTTTCTCAGCTTTGCATCGAAGCTAATAATAGATAATAATAATAATAATAATAATAATTAATAGAAAATAGGGAGGAAATTAATCAAAGGATATAAGTGTGGAGATTAGCTCTTGAAGAAAAAGGTTTGAGAGTAAATAAGAATAAAATAGAGCATATAGAGTACAAGTTTGACAAACGAGTACACAAAATTGGTGAATGAGGAATTCAGTGACAATAGGCAAGAAAAATGATAGGAGAGGTGGAAAGTTTTAAGCATTTAGGATCAATTGTGCAAAAGAGCGGTGTTATTGATGAGGATGTAAGGCATAAGATTAAGTGCGGAGAGAAGCGTCTGGTGTGTTATGCGATAAAAGAATTCCAATGAGGCTGAAATGTAAAATTACAAGACTGTAGTGAGACCAGCTGATGTATGGTTCAGAGTGTTGAACGGTTGATAAAGAAGTCGAGCAGAGAATGAGTATAGCTGAGATAAGAATTCTTATATGGATGAGTGAAGTGACTAGAAAAGATAAAATAAGGAACGAGCATATAAGAGAATGTATAGGTGTTGCGTCAATCGTGGATAAGATGAGAGAATATAGACTTAGATGGTTTAGTCATGTTATAAGGAGAGAAGAATTGGAAGCTATAAGAACAGTTATAGAAATTAATGTTGAAGGAAGAAGAGGCAGAGGAAGACCAAAAAAGAGATAAAGGCATATTATTAAATGTGATATAAAGACTGTTGATGTTTGTGTAGATGATTGAAAAGATTTTGTCAAGTGGAAGTTTATGATAAGGGTGGCTGACCCGAAGTAGTTGGAATAAAGGCGACAAAACTGAAAAAGAGTCAGTTACAATTCTAACTTCATAGAGAAAACGGAAAGTATGTTAAGGATTATAGAATGAACTATCACTTTATTGTATAAAATTTTCAAACTAAGATTACAAGATAGGTTTTAAGGATAAATGCCTAGCTAGTCCCTTATATCATCTATAAAATATGAGCTATTTATGAGAGATGTGAAATGTTTGTTTTCCAACTTGAATTACTCACCACATTATCTAAAAAGATAATTTTAAGTTAATTACACTTCAAAAAATGTATATAATGCAAGAGTTGAAAACTTGTTTTATTTTTTAGTGAATCAAATAAAATCAGCTTGTGTGACCAGTGCTCAAAATTTAATATTGGATATTATTTCATCAAATGAAAAATTTGATTTATTATTAAAACGTCTAATCGAAGTTCGGAAACAAATTGCTGCTGATATACCATATAGTAATTATACAAAATATTTTATTTTTAACTTCTTTAAAATAAAATCTTTTGTTTTAGATACTTTTAATGACACTAGTTCGGAGATTAGTAGTATGTCTTCATATCGTACAACAAGGTAGTAAAGGCTGATAATTCATTATTTATTTTTAATAACTTTTCTGTAATAAGCTTGTAATAAAAAGGAATAGAAAACCGATTTATGCCATGTCAATGGAATTGAACCACAGTATCAACATACTAAAGTGTGCAAAATTAATTATACTATTCTTGTAAAATTCTCATACAAATAAATATAGTTAAAAAAAACTAAAAAATACGCTTTTAAAGCACATTGAACTAAAAAGTTCAAAATAATTTTTAAAATAAGCTTAAAACAATATCGAACGAAAAGTACTAGAA